GTTATCGTATTTGGTGAATCCATCTATCAGTATGTTGCGATTCTCAAGCCATACGGAATGTCTTCTGAACTGATTAACATCACTGTTGTATTTGTGTGTCGGAAGTGAGTATATTCTAGCAAACTCACTAACAAGTATTTGTGTACATTCTCCGCTGTTTCCAAGACATAGCAGCATTATCATGCTTTCAACGGCTTCACCATCACCTTTGCGAGTAGCGTAGTAGACATTGTCAATTTGAGTTGGCTCTATGTTGGTGAATTCCGAGCAAGGAATCCACTCAAGTCGTAAGTATTTAGCTTCACTTTCCAAGGAGGATTGAACCAAGTTGTCAATCACTGGATTATTAACCCCTGGAACTAAGGACATCGTTCGAATAAGAAATTTCAATTACAAAGCATTCTCAACACTAATAACAGATGATGCGTGTAACGCTTAATTTCTTTTTCCAGATCAGTATTCCCCTACCATATTTAGTAGGTATTTTGCCCGCTAGCTCCCCTACCTAAACCAAATATTAATATGATGCCTGAGACCGTGAAGCCGAAGCTCTCATACCAGTACTACCTCTCGTTGGAGGGGAAGACGCTGCACTAGTAGATAATCAACTGCAATTGGTCGTTAGTCTCGCTCAAGCCGTTACAAGCGTGTCTTGGGTGGAGCTAATTGGCCGTGATGATCGCATTGCCCAGAGTTTGATCCAACAATCACAATTGAGTACTGCATTCCTTCAATCCACTAACGTGAGTGCAGTTATAACAGCCGGGTTTCGTGTCATGCCATATCTATGGGAGTCATTCGATGAATATTGGGGCAGGAGGCGCGTTCTATCCATATGGTGTTTCTTTCCTGCATTTGTAATCACACTAGTCAAAGAAAAGGAGAACAAAATTTTGGTACTAGTCTTTAAAATGGAATTCTTTTCTAGAACCTCACCGCTCGTTCTCTATCTTCTTTTCTTGATCTGGGGACACTTGCAGATAGCCCTAGCGTTTCTTTTTTCGGTAATATTCAACAAGATCCGAACTGCTTTAGTTATGTCATGCGTTATTATTAACAAGCGGCGTAATTATCAACATGGCAACAGAGTTAATTTTCATTAGACAAGCATTTACCGCGCTCTCAGCATTGTCAACGAGGCAAGCTTGAATCCGTCAGGCAATGGTTCTTTACAGCACGGATCGAATGAATCCTTACAGCACGGATTGGATGGATTACACAGCACGGACCAGATGGATCTGAGTATTTTATGTTGCTAATACGTGGTACTGTCTCAAGTGCTTCCATCCGAGTACGATAAATGACATTTTGTATTTCGTACGTTATTCAGAGAGCTGTTTGGAATAGGCGAGACGAAACAGAACAGACGTAAAAGTTTCCTGGAGAGCGGTTTATGGCATATTGATCCAGAAGAGGCTAGGTCAGAAGGCGATGACGTCCGAGAAGAGTTTTAGAAAATCAGTTTCTATTAGATTCCCCACTGGTTATAAAGAGAATATGCAAAGAATACCCGAATGGAAATGTGGATGTAACGTTTACTATCGAATCGAACATGATTTTGGACTGTTGGATCCTAACGGGGCTGGTAGGTATAATAGGAAAAAGGGGGAGAGAGAGGCTTTACATGTTTATTTATTTGATTTCGATAATAATTTCGGTTTTGCTTTAAATTTAGGCAAAATAACACTTCTCAGCATTCTGACGGGGTCTCTATCCGACAACAAAAGGCGATGCGATTCTCAATGGCTTTGATATCAAAGACCCAAAAGTCTACATGAGCGTAGGAATATGTCCTCAACATTATATTCTTTGGGATGATTTGACAGTGGGCGAGCACTTACTCTTCTACGCCCGTCTTAAGAGCGTGCCTTCAAGCCAGGAACATGCAAAGGTGATAGAATTATTAGAACGCGTGCGTCTAGTACCATTCGAAAATCGTCTTTCTTGCGGTCTTAGCGGTGGTGAAAAACATTCGTCGTTGGGGATCCACTGTAGTCTTTTGGGATGAACCCACCACCGGACTTGATCCAGAAGTTAGACGTTTGATCTGGAATATCATCAGCGAGGCGAAAACTAGACGAACGATTATATTGACCACGCATTCGAAGAGGCAAGAGTTTTGTCAAGGGTTATCATTATGGCCCAAGGAATTAAGACTGAAGGAGAAGTATGGTCGAGGTTTTAAATTGAGCTTTTCGGGTCAAGCGGCGAACATGGGTGGTATGTTGGGTATTGTTATGCTACGTATGGCTTTGGTACGACGTGATGATAAATATAAATTTAGTTAACTTTGACTTTTGATACTTTTCTTAGCTTCATCGAATCATCACTTACACCAACAGCAAGAAGGCTTCCATAACTTATGAATTCTCGCCAGAACCTGGATTTATTTCTCGACTATTCAAACGAATTGAGAGCGATGAAAGATATTTTGGTGTGTGGATGATTGGGTTTTGAGTCAAACAACGTAAGTTTCACACAAGTTTTTTCCGAATATTGAGATAACAGAAACTAACTGTCGTCCCATTCTTCGATCACAGTCTAGAGAAAGATTATGGAGCAGATGCTGAATAAGTTTTCGGATGCACGGTCGGCAAATACCTTATGGACCAAAACATAAACATGGCCCTTATGCTAAGTATCAAAATACAGAGGAGTGGGTTATTCTTTCGCACTTATTAGACTAATTAATAGATATTCAGGAATTGGGGAATTGATTGGTTTTATTTAGACTCTTCTACAGACATTTTTGCGATTTTTAAAAAGATCTATTTTAATTTAATACAATTGATGTAACGTATGTGTTATTCAGCTAATTAGTCGTCTAATACAAATGGCTCTCGATATAAGAAAGTATTTTTGCTGGACCCGATTAAAATCTTATAACGAATAACTCTCGTTACAAGAGATTTTCGATATAGGTTGGGCCCCGATCACTTTTCTTATATCGAGAGCCACTTGTTATAATCATTCTATACGTGTGTCAGGAAACAAATTGCCATTGCTCCATGTAAACATTGCTCGTTTTTGTCAATATCACTAAATAAAACGATATGATGGTGAAATCGCGGTGAAGAAAGTCTTCATATAAATTAATTCGTTCACCGAGAAACTGCGCATTAACGTTTGAGAATTAACGCAAATAAATCTTCCGGCATAATCGTATGGGTTTACAGTGAAAGAACAATTTTAAAACACATACAGCATATACTTTATAACATGTCCACTTATTATTATTGTAAAAACGAAATAAAACAAAAGAAACGCAAAAAAAAAACATACGCAAAAAAAACATACACAAAAAAAACATACACAAAAAAAAACATACACGAAAAAGTTATGATAAAAAAAGAATTTTAAAATTAAACATGCATGATATATGATATAGAAAATTATTGTATTTTCGCCATTCGTATTCGCTGGACTTCATGTTAGAAGGCCACGACTGCGTTTATCCTTTACAGATCTCAACCGACGCTTTGCATACAAGCGACGAATGAATCCCGAGATGACAACGTTATCAGCAAATTCCATCTTTTTGATCTTGCCCAAGCATAGATAACATATCACTTGCCCAGTAGTCAAGGTCAATATAATCAAGCAAATCATCAGAATTTGGTTCCAAGTCTGTTTGGGTCCGCTGCAGGGACTTGCATGAATGGTTCAAAGGGCCGGGTAATGACTTGTTAGGGTGGGTACGGATATTGACTGTATCCTTACCATTACCAGATGCAAGAGGACTGTGTTCCAAGGTTACGACGGATACTGCTGATCCGCGAACACCGTCAAGCGGGTGTATAATCATCTCGGGTGATGGGAGTACGTTCTGCGACTGTTGTTGGTTGCGATCGAAATCTATCAAATTCTGCCGCAATGTCTTCGAGTTTCATTTCAAGCGTTCAAGTTCGCACGCGTTTTGCCAGGCGCTCATTTTCTTCTCTGTGAGCCGTAAGCTCAGCATGTCTTTCCCTCAGAGCAGTATTCTCTTTTTTCAGAGCCGTATTCTGTTCTTCAAGGTCAGCCAACTGCTGTCGCTACTTGTTGCGTGACATTTGCGCTGCATGCCGGTTTTTTAAGAACCATTTCTCTCGCACGGGTCTCTCTCTCTTCGGGACTTTCGGCTTTCCGTTCACGACCACACCTTGGCCTGCCCGAGGGGGAGTAGTTGCGGGTTGTATTGGTATAACTGCCAGACGCAAAGACGTGTTCAAGGATGGGCCCTTGAAATGGCGGAGCATAGCTCACTGTTAATGTATTGTTGTGTAAATCTTCGACTATTTATTGCCGGGCGATTAAAGTGTACATAATGGAAAGTAAGTGGCGTCTGTTTGAGAAGTTGATAGGCATCTGGATGTACGGGTCAAAACAGTGTTTGCGGTTACGTTTGATAATCATATGTCCATATGCAAACCAAACTCCAGATTCGTATAAGCAATATTCTTGGCACCGGGCACGGCCATGTAGGACCGTAGAATGTGTTCTTCAAAGATCCAAATTCGTGCCACTATTTTTGCAATCTCTTGATCTTTGGTGGGAACATTATACAGAAATGCCAGTCCACACGACCACAATTGTTTAAAAACGGCCAACAGCGTCTTGTCTGAATTCATGTCTTCGTGACATCTTCCATCAAAGCACCATCCCATACGACTCTAGTTGAATCATTGCGTCTTTTTTGAATTTGTCGCATCCCTGGAAGAGTAATGTGAAAACTCGTATGTACTCTGGTGAGGTAACTCATCATTTCTTGTTGTATCATCCACCAAACTTAACCAACAATCACAATTGACAACCAACTAAGTACCCTTCTCTTCTTTTCGAAGTCAGTTTAGACACAACAAACATTATCTAGTGCGTCTACTACGCGCAGGTTGGTTGAATAACGACCTTCCATATCTCACCATCTCTTTATTACTTGGTAGCGCTGCCCCATCGCTAACGGCACCAAAGCCTCTCTGCTCTTTCGACAATCTGTCCAAGACGTTCGATTTTCTTCTCAATCAACAATTCCTACATAATAAAGCAAAACGATCAGACATCAACTTGTATGATAGTTCTAATGTTCATCCTCTATCGGCAAGATTCTATTAATAATCATAGTCCGGATCCCCAAGCCTACTTAGTATTATTCGTACATGTTATTGTTTCATGCAGTTTAGCATGCGCACATCGCTTTCCTAAAGCAGTGACTTCTGGATTGGATACCGAACAACAATTTTTCGTGCGATTGCTGCGGCGTTATTTAGGAAATCTGGCTTGTAGGTTAATACGGTCAAGGGGAGGCGAATAAATAAAGCAGGAAGACAATTAAGCTTTATATAAATAAGCAAGAATTGCCAAGTGGTAATACTCTAAAGCTAAAGCAGTAAACCAGTGTAAAACATACAGCCTGTCACAATACATTCTGAGGTTCTGTGGACTCAATTTAAGACTTCCTTTAAGCCAGGTCATAACAATATACCTCTTATTATCTCGAATCCATCAAATAATCTAACAGATTATTTGCATGCTTTCTTTTCAGGATAAGGCAGTTGATCTAAATTTTGTCGAGCTGTGAAGAAATCAATTATTTAAGTATGTCCGTGATAAAATTATATTTAGCACGTGATATACGCGTATAATGCTACTGATCGTTGACAGAATTTTAACGCATTCTATGTAAACAATAGAAACAACATGTTATCACTTTCAAGCTTTTGTAAATGGGCAATCAATCGTTGACACTAACTGCGTTAATAAAAGCAAATCCGGTATTGTGGGTTAATTCTAATGACATATTGTCCGGCTCGATCACCCTGATAATGCAAGCGGTCGTAGATAGTAGCTAAAAATCATGGTTCAGATCAGATCAGAAGCTCAAATCTTCGGATCATTCAGCAAGACGTTGCTATTAGGATAGCCCCATTATTCTAATAAAAAATCCGATTTAAATATAATCATTATTATTTCGTTTATTCCCTGATAAAAGATACTTGCATCGTTTGGCGAAGTGTAAAACACTTTCCCCGTCAGCGGTGAATAGAATTAATTTTTGCCGATTAATTCTATTTAGTACTTTTGCATTCAGAATTATTGTTTAATAGTTTAGATAAAGATAATTCCCCGATTCGATAGGTTTTGAGACTAATCCAATCAAAGAAATCGCAGTAGTGACTACTCGAGGTTAAACAATAATCTAGGGACAGCATATACGAGACCGATATTACAGATCGTGAGTATAAATCCTAGTTCAAAGGTCACTAATTGTACCGATATTTAGTTTGAAGTAGGAAGAACGAAAGCTTCCGTTGGAAAAGAACTAAACCCCAAAACGGCTAGTACACCGCTGCTCTCTCAGGTGTAAGCTAGTCCGAAAATGTTAAACAAGGTTCGGGGACTACGCGAAAGGCCGTGTACTCTTTCTTTTTCCAGTTTGATATTGAACATAGATTAAACAAACTGATCGTGGCGAGAAGATGTTAAACGCGCTCTTTTGTCGTTAGAAAACCTTGTTCAGCTTATATGGCCCATCCAATGCACACGTTATCGTATGCAGTACAGTCTAGTCTGTATCTTGGATAAAACAGCATTAGTATACTTAATTTGTCTTTGATGCGAACAGCGAATTGTGTTACATAAGCAAGCCACGAGACCGGAATAAAGTCATTATTTACTGTACTTTTTGTGTCAAGATATGCCTAATATGAAAATTCTCAATAAGCAGTACACGATCTACAATGACATTTCCATAATTCGTCCACAAAATACCTTTAGTAAATTAACTTGGCGCCTTTTATAGCGTTGGACACTTCACCTCTGCCTGACTGGCCTGTAAAACATGGTGCATATTACAGATGGACGGAAATCACAGCACAAATTCGAAAAGTTTCAACTTCAAGTTCAAAATGTAATAGTTTGAAAAGGCGGACGCAAAATTGATTTATTATTCGAACTTCACTATCAAAAAACACACTAACACTCTCGTATTCATTGTCAATGTGAATTGTCAACATCATTAAATTTTTATGAAGGTCATGCTATGTTGATATTATTATACGTTTCAAAGGAGAACGAATTTTTTCTGATGAAAGTCCTTGCCTACTCGTGAATTTGTTCGAAAATAACTATAAATATACATTTTTTGCGGCAAACGAACGATTAGTAACTTACTCGACAAACTAATCGTTTTAGTGAGTAATATGTTTGTAGTGGACACTGATACAAATACTAATACGGCATGATAATATACAATCAGAACAATGGAGCATCTTACTCCATGGAGAAACATGTCTGTTTATCATCACTTAAGAAGAAGTAACTCTCACACTGACTTATCTCTGTTCATTCTACCGTCTGAGAGAGAATGCACAATTGTAATTTTTTACCAGGGAGTAATTATGCTCTTATTAATCTATGGCAACATACTGTTCTCTTGGAATTCTACTGATACTATGCATAAAATCACATTACCAAGACTAATCAGAGACTGAGTAAATGAATAATATGGAGAGTATAAATTATTCACCACTCATTACTACTACCACCCCTCTGAAAACTATGTTTTCAAGAATATCATTCAGGCATTGATTAATATTATATGATAAGAGTATGAGACTACAATGTTTATTAAACTAAAATGCAAGGTTACTAGATATTAGATATTTCTAATTTGATTCTAGAGTCATTTGCCAAAGCTGCTGCTCCTGTGTCTCCAATTTGATCAAATGCAAATTTGATTCTAGAACTTTTGCCTCCTGTGTCTCAAATTCAAAGAAGTCAGAGAAGAATTTGATTCTAGAGCCTTTGCCAAAGCTGCTGCTCCTGTGTCTCCAATTTGATTCCAATTCAAATGCAAAAAAGTCAGAGAAAAATTTGATTCTAGAGCCTTTGCCAAAGCTGCTGCTCCTGTGTCTCCAATCTTATTACTATTCAAATTCAAAGAAGTCAGAGAAGAATTTGATTCTAGAGCCTTTGCCAAAGCTGCTGCTCCTGTGTCTCCAATCTTATCACTATCCAAATTCAAAGAAGTCAGAGAAGAATTTGATTCTAGAGCCTTTGCCAAAGCTGCTGCTCCTTTGTCTCCAATATTATTCCCATCCAAATGCAAAGAAGTCAGAGAAGAATTTGATTCTAGAGCCTTTGCCAAAGCTGCTGCTCCTGTGTCTCCAATTTGATTCTCACCCAAATCCAAAGAAACCAGAAAAGAATTTGATTCTAGAGCCTTTGCCAAAGCTGCTGCTCCTGTGTCTCTAATTTGATTATCTATCACATCCAAAGAAGACAGAGAAGAATTTGATTCTAAAACTTTTGCCAATGCTGTTGCTCCTATGTCTCCAATTTGATTCTCTTTAAAATTAAAGAAGTCAGAAAAGAATTTGATTCTAGAGCCTTTGCCAAAGCTGCTGCTCCTATGTCTCCAATTGGATTCTGACTCAAATTCAAAAAAATCAGAAAAGAATTTGATTCTAGAGCATTTGTTAAATGCGCACACCCAATCTCTTTTAATGTTTTGTTTAGTTGGGAGGTTGATTCTAAAGCTTTTGCTAAAGCAATCATTTCTGTGTCTCCAATATTGCACTTATGCAAGTTCAGTGCTTTACCAAATTGTCTAATATACAAATACTTTAATTGTTTATATACTTCTTCACTTGATGGTCTTTTGTTTGGATCACCATCCCAGCATTCTGAATATAGTTTAATGTACTTTTCTGGTGTTTCTGCAGAAGGAGGGTCTTTCAAACCTCTAAATCTATATAAAATAATCTCATGCCTTTGAATACATCCTTCACATGGCTGTTTTCCACTTGAAATTTCCCACAATACTACTCCAAGGCTAAAATGTCTGACTTTTTCCCTCGTTTATAAGACTCATTTTCAAAAGTAACAGGATCAATATATGCTGTGCTGCCTTCACTTATTGATGTAGAATTTGTTTGTTTTAGCATGCCTGACAAACCAAAGTCAGTTATTTTGGCAATGCCTCCTTGAATAAGA